GCTTGTTTGTAGGTGACCAAATACTTATTTTCCACCATTATTTGCAAAAAAATTCTTTAAAAGTCAGACAAAATGATTTTCTCAAATTTTTTTTCACATTTTGTCTCTCATTGTTGAGGTCTACCGATGTTGTCAATTACAGGCCTCTCTCATCTTTTTAAGTGGGAGAACTTGCACAATTGGTGACTGACTAAATACTTATTTTCCCCACTGTACATACAAGTCTCTTCCGTATGACTGTGATGGTGCAAGTGGATTAAAAATGGATGTCATAGATTCCAATCCAGCAGGAGATGGTGGACAGGGAGTTTCTGAGAGTTGAACTCCATAGGGTTCTTGTCTGACAGCATCAAACGTCTCCCAGTCAGTGCCAAACAGCTCCAGGTTCTGTCACTGAATTAAAAAACAAATTACAATTGGGAAAAAATGAGAACAAATGTAGTAAATTGAGTCAAAAAAACCTGAAAATCTTCCTCTTTCATCAGTGGTGTTATACATGTGCCCCATAACCCACAGCTGGTTTGGGGTAAGTCCACTCTCAGACTTCAAAGGATGATTGTCCCAGGCTTCAGTAAAAGTGTGTAGTGCATTTGCCAGCCGAGGGAGGAACACATAATGTGCACAAAACGTGAACTGCATTAGACAAATCCAGAAGGTCGTCATCCTCCAGGCTGTGAAGTACCTCGTAGTACACCTGTGTCACACTGGTCCAGACATCTCGCCATAGACGCTCAATTCTACAGAAGTAATAAGTGAAAAACTTTAAATGCAAAAACGAAACTTAAATTTACTTTTCATTATTAGCTACCAATGTGCAGCCTTCGTTTTCTAGTCTTTGAACATGCCTGAAACCTTGACAAAATTTGTGCACTGTTGCAAAGTTGTGAATGCTGTTAAAAACAAAATTTAGAAATCGTAAATGACAGTAACTACGTAGAAACAGCCTTTATTGTCCCACGCGAGGAAATCCAGGTGTAGTAGCAGCAGCAGATACATACATTAACCCACAGAAACAGTATATTGCTGTGTGACTTTACCAATT